CTCCGTGAATCGTAGACAAGCCTTGCTAATTTCTGCGCAAACATGCGCTATTCAGACCTCAGACAGATGAGACAAACAAGTCCCTTTCAGCATATGAGTCAGCCGTGAGCTCCTCTGTTCGACTGTTCATCATCTCTGGTGCAGGATTAGTCAAGTGAGTCACCATGTTTATTCCCAATTCTTCATTTTGCAGTTATTCTTCCCAGTTATTCTTCAGCCATGGGCTGCCCAGCCCCTTGTGTGGGGTTCCTATGAGGGGCCTTTCCTCACCAAAAGGTCATAAAAAGTGAAGGCCAGGTCTTGCAGTGGTTGGACTGCCATTAGTCTGCCATTTCTCTCTGATGCTGGAGACACAGGGCAGCACTACTCATGATAGTGAGTTTGAATCGAGACATGAAGCCCCGAGGGCCGTATGCCAGTAATTTTCAGTGCTTTTTTCAGCAGAGGCGAGTTTAAAATTTCTGAAATAAAGATATGCATTAAAATAACCCAAATGTTTTGTAAGAGCACATTATTGGAAGTTGGGGCTTTCTTATCAATACTTCATGAGCAGAAAGGAGAATTTAATCTGCTGAAATAAATGACTTTGTATGATTTATGAGCACCTGTTCAAAACCCAATGCTGACTGGATTCCAAGGGCTTTTCCATGAACACCGTACCTTAGCTGCGTGTGGGAGCAATTCAAAATGCTCTTTCCTGGGTTCTCCCTCCTCCACCAGTGTTGATCTGCTTGTTGTTCACATCTCCCTTTCTAAGCCTTTCCTTACAGCTTCTTCAGCTTCGGTTAGCTCAAATAATTTGGGACAACCTGAGCATGTTTTTCTGGTCGTTCTTCTCTCCGTTTCCTCATCTGCACATCACTCCCAGTGAGAATCCTCCTTGCAGGGCAGTGCCAGCTCTCCCCCCACTAGAAGCTAAGTGTGCATTTCTGCTCTCCGTTGGTGATTTACTGTGTGAGGAGGGAACAAAGCGAGATGTGGTCTCTTACTTGATTTGTATCTATGCCATGTTTGCAGCTTGCTAGATGCTATTCTGCCTTGGCCATAGCTTTTTTGTGAGGTGTACTATACTGTCTTCTCTTCTTAGGTGTTCAAAACCAGACTCAATGAAACCAGTTTTATATTGCTTATATTAAATAAGATGGTGTTGCAAGTTCATTTCTTCATGACATTTAAAAGGTGATAAATTCATTGATTTGGTATCCCAAGCCATTTTTTTTAACAAGTAAAGAAATCCCTTTTGTCTGCTTTTGCTTTTAACTAAACCACCTTTTAAGTATTATAGGAGAGATGCTCTTACCGCATACTAACTTAGGGATATTAAGCTGAGTTGTCTGCAACTGCCAAGATAACAACACTGGTTCAAACTTTGTTAGCCTGCTGTCTTGTGGGACAGTCAGGATTCTTAGTGACAGTTTGTTTTTGCTTACTACCAGACAATCTTAATGGCTTCAGCTGCCAGTACTTCTGTACATTCGTACTTATAACTGTCTAAATAACCCAATTAATTTCACTAGCGTGCCTAGAAGAGAGCCTGTGCCTAACTGTTCAGAGACAGTAATGTCAAAAGCCCTTACTGATGGTATCTTCTCCAAAATGTACCACTTCCTTGCGGTGTCTCTTATTTGACCCCTTATTTTCCAACACTCCCTCAGCTTTATTATCCATGTATCTCTTCAAAATGACTGGTGGCAGACACATGCAAATAGATCATTTAATTTCCCTGCAATGTCTTTATCCCCTTTAATTGTTCCCATTGCACCCCGGTACTCCACTGAGCCTTTTGACTCTCTCACAGTCTGCTTACACTTTTATAATTAAGTAATTTCTTCTTATTTATTTTCATGTTATGCCTTTGGCTAATCTCTCCACCAAATCCCTCAGCTAAACCATCTTCATTTTTGTTTTACACTATTGTTCCTTACCACCAGCTTCTGTCGGGCTAACTTCCCATTTTCCAAAGGATATTTGAAGAGCCTCTTTTGTGGTACCTTTCTATTCAGCCCAGTCAGATAGGCATCCTCCCTCCCTCCTCCTTTTTGTCTTTCTGGGTCTTGTGCAAATCTTTTGTAACTCATTAGTGGCTCACTTCAGTAGGCTCCATGCTGAATCCTTACAGCACCTTACACATTTCCCTTTGTGTAATAGTAATTTTTTTGGTGAGGGCTAAAATGGTGCTGAGGGAAGTTGGAAGAGCAAAAGGAACATTAAGCAAAAGAACAAAAGAGGTGGACTAATAGAAAGTGGTTCTGTGTTCATGCATAGAAAATTATTTGGATGCAAATCAGTCCCACAGCTGAATGATTTGTCTCAAAGCCTCAAGATTAGGGAGCAGAGGGCTTCAGCCTCAAGTGGCACTCTCTCTGATTTCTACCCAGACCCTCTATTCACAAAACAACGTGACTGAAAACAGCTCACCTGGAGGACTTGCGTGCTGCTTTTATGTCTCCTTGTACTCATCTGAAAAACGTCTTTGTGTTCACTTTGAGTTACTTCCTACACCATGTCTTAAAACTGCAGATATGTAGAGGGGGAGAGGGATCTGAGCAGGGGACAGATTAGTTACACACTAAGAAAACTGGGTGCCATATCTCCCAGGCAAAGAATTTCTACTAAAAGTACAGGGAAGTACAGGTGAGAAATTGCTTGATAACCTGGTAATTTATGTAGACACCTAAACAAAGATTGGAATTCCTAAGCAGAGAGTCTGAGAGGAAGATTTTGCTCAATCAAATTAAATATTTCATTGTGATTTAGAGTTTAAACGGATTATAGAAGATGCCTTGCATACACCATTTCCGCACATCCCTAATGAAATCATTACTCCACCTTTAAAAGCATCAGAGGTAGCAGGATGGTGAATGTGAGTTTGTATCTTCTATTAAGAAAGCTTCTTCCCAAAAATAAATGATGAATTTTTTTCTGGTCACAATGTGGCCCTATTTTCACACCTTCAACAATAACAAGTTTTCAGTTAGTTTTAAGATTTGCAATGTGTGTTTAAATCAAGCTCTGGATTAGTCCATCTTCCCCAATCTAGCCAGAAAGCCATCCATGAATGACGATATCATTCTGTGATGACACCAACAGAGAGTGGAGAAGGCTGGCACGTGTGTGAGGACACTTTTGGAGACACTGGACACCTCCGAGGCCTTCCACAGTGCAGTTCTTGTGGAAGGCTGACCCCCCTGAACAGGGATGCTGGCGTAGAGTAATGTAGGATATATTAAGTAGATATGGTCTAGGGGTATAGTTGCTTTTTTCATCACTGAAAGTGTAGTAATTCAATGCTGTTATGTGAAAGTAATCTCCCATTTCAGCTGGGCAGAGGGTAGTATGTTCATATCACGGTTTTTTGAAATAAATTTAGACTGAAAATAAATGTCAGCTGCCAATCCAGTCGCTATGCCTTCACCTTACGTTGCTAAGGAAGTACTCCTTCAGTTTGCCCGTTTAGCACAGCTTCCCCACGCGATTTGAAAAGGTCAAGGTTGTCCTGTTACTGCAAATGAGGGAGGGTTGGTCTGGTGCCCACCAGCAACAGAGTTAAATAGCTTTAAGCTCTATGTATTACAAGTTGCCTCAGTAATTACCCTTCAGAGAAGCTTCTAACTTAGGCAGAGAGGCACAGTTCAGGAACAGCTTTTTCAAGGGACTGTGTCTTTAGAGAAGGAATGTACATTTCCACTCCAAATGTGCTGAGAGAAAAGAGAAAGAATAAGAAAACACTTCACCATTTACTTCTAATAGAAATTTATCATATGTTGCTGCTTGTCAGGGATGGAGGTCTTGATGGTAGAGAACTTTGTTTTGACTGCACATAGGTTTTTTCTCTCAGGTAGAATTTGAAACAACTCTCTTGTAGGCTTAGATGACTTGTTTTAAATTAAAGAAAACAGCAGAAGAGGATTAAACGAAAATCTCCATGGGAGAACACGGTGTGAGTTTTCCCTGTAACAGACCTCAGGCCTCATCAAAATTTGAGAATTATGCGAGGTAAAGCAGACTGCAATAACAGTATGTTACAATTTCATTTTACAGAAGGTTAAGCTGCACTTTCTGAAGCTTTCCTTACTTGTTGCTCTTTAAAAGAATCTGTTGTTTGTAAATCATCTTAATGGGAAGGACAGATGATGAGAAGGCCTGATTCAGCTTCCTCAGGTGTAAACATGAAATAAATCATTAAAGTGTCCAGCTCTCACTTTTGTAAAATGCATGAGATGGAAGTAGGGAGTGGCCCAAGCTTCTCAGTACAGACTTTCACATTAAAGGAAACACTTCAACATTTTCTTCTCTGTCACTTGCTATCTCCTTCAGGGCCTCCTCAGTTCCTAATTATTCTCCTAGAGCTGGGGGAAGCCTTGCAGCCAGCCTATTGGTAGCTGCTAATTAATGAAGAGTTCCCGTTTGCAGTGGATGCAGCTATTTTCCATGTTGCATTTGGTTCGCAGAAATAGGGCAACAGCCAAACTTTATTGTGCAAAGCGTTGGATCATTCCCTCCACTCAAACAGGCAGCCAGGGAGCCTACTTGTAACCATACTATTTACATCATACCGATTTATTTCCTTTTCTGGTTTCCATCTTTAGAATAGAAAGAAAAGAAGGGAGGGAAAAAAATCGTAAAAACCCAGTAAAGTATGTCCAGAAGATCAGGGATTTAAACAGATAGCCTGAATCCATTTCATTTCACCACAGAGAAATATTTTCCCAAAGTAGCTTAGCTAAAATCTATTGTAAGGAATGCCAAAAGAATTGAAAAAAGAATTGAAAAGATTTAATTCCACCAGTGAGCAGGACTTAGCACATCTAGCAAAGGAATGTGAGTTTTGGGGCAGGAGCGCTTTACTGACACCTCTGAAACAACTCTCTTTTCAAAAGAATTCTACCAGAATAAATCCCCACCCTTTGCTCATGCCTCATCCACAGCAAAGCTGAGTATCTTGAAGTTTGAAGATAACTGCAACCATTGATTATTTTTTTTTTCTGCTTTGTCTTTAGGAACTCCTTCATAGATATCCTTCGAGCTATCCTACTGTCCTTGGAAGTGCTCATCGAAGATCAGGAGCTTCAGATAAATGGCTTCATTCTAATTATAGACTGGAGCAACTTCTCCTTCAAGCAAGCCTCCAAGCTTACGCCGTCTATTCTCAAACTGGCCATTGAAGGATTACAGGTAGGTGGAGGGTAATACATGTACCTGCAATATTTATTGCTGCAGCCAGTGATTTTTGCCTCAGCAGGCACTGGGCAGGGGTGGTGTCCTGTCCACTTGCAGCATAGCTTGATTTTCAGACATTTCATTTTTGACCGTCTTTCACTTTTATTTCAGCTGTAAATTGGTGTAACCAGTCTGTGTGTTACTCACTGCAGCACCAAGAAGGACAGTTAGAGATTTGAGGTTTAATCCATCAGAGTATTCAGAGGGATTAAAATCCAGCAGCATCTGCCTTCTGGAGCATGCGGACCACAGGCAAGCACATCTGCATGCAGAGGGAGGGTGGCAGGAGAAGAGAGCAGCTCCCTCAGCAGATGGAAGTGCACTGCCGTGTTCACGCAGATGCGTTTGAGTTGGAGGGAAATGAGGAAGAGGGAGGACAGGCTCCCTGTCGTGTCCTCATTCTGACTACCTTAATTTGTCACATAGGATCCTGTTACATTATGGTTCAGACCGTTCAGGGGCTGCACATCCACTGGGTGCTTGCAAATAAACAGGAGCAAGGAAGAAATTCTTTACAATGAGGATGGTGAAACACTGGAATGGGTTGCCCAGAGAGGTAGTGGAGGCCCCATCCCTGGAAACATTCAAGACCAGGTTGGATGGAGCTCTGAGCAACCTGATCGAGTTAGTGGTGTCCCTGCTCACTGCAGGGGGGTTGGGCTAGATGACCACTAGGGGTCCCTTCCAACCCAACTTCTGTGATTCTATGATTCTATGACTCTATGACTCTATGATTCTAAGCTAAAACCGCGTGCTGTGGTGGGTTAGGTGGAAAGTGAGAACAAGGCAGCTGGGGCCTGTTGAGGCAATCTGAGGATGAGGACAGGCTGTGATGCTCAAAGAGGACTTCAGCCCTTTCCACCAGAGTCTGAGCCCATCTCTGCTGTTAGACCTGAGATGGGTCTTGAAGTAGTCTGACACAGCCTTATTAATTGTGGGCATTTGACAGAATCCAAAGCCTATTTAGGTTGGAAGGACCTCAGAGATCACCTGGTCCAACCCCCTGCTCAAAGCGGGGCTGGCTTAATCTTAGACCAGGTTGCTCAAAGAGCATGTTTCATGTAGCTCCATATTTAAAAGGAGAGATTTTATAAGTCATTGTTTTTCCATTTTATTTTTAGTACTTTTCAGGTATCCTGCAGTCATAAATACCTCAGGAATAATCTTCCCTGTAGTGTGTGTATTTTAATTTTAACTCATATACTAGAAAGAACAATTTGTTCAACTAATTTTTTGACTAACAAATTGTCTACAATTAGATCATGATTATCTCTATGTTATTATTCAAAAAATAAGTAGAAAAATCTGCCAGCAGTTTTAAGCCTGTGTTCCCCTTTGTGGGGATTTTTCATCTATTCTAACAAACTAGAAAGTCAAGCTGTGCAATTAGTCCCTAGGACAACACCTTATCTTCTCCTGCTGCTACTATCTGCCTTCCTTCACAAAATAACGTTCTGTGCTCAAAAAACCCCCTCAAGTCAGAAGGAAGAGAAAGCCAAGTGTCATTCATAAGGAAATCAAATTCCAGCAAGGTGTCCTTGTGCCTGTCCAAATTTTGCACTCCCAACTCTCCAGTAAGAGGCCAGTCCAGCCTTCATCCCGTCTGATTTCTGGTCACAGCATTGCCAGGTTGTTTGCCTACTGCATGGGAATGAGGGGATGTGTCCACCTTACGGCAGCTCCAGCCTTGAGCAGTGGAAAAGAAGGTTATTCCTTTCGAAGCCAGTTTCCCCTACTGTGCCTCTTCACAGCCTCTTCTTTGACATCCCCATGACCTGGAGGGAGCCCCCAGTTCATTTGCAGCTGTTGGCAATAATATGTTTCTGGAAGTACAAAAGCCTGGAAGTACCAGAGCTGGTCTTATGATGGTGTCATTAGCGTGACACCTTGTGCTGGGCAATTTAAGGAGGCTGCCTTTCTTGTTGGTGGGTAGGGACTTCATTTCTCATTTAAAGTCACATTATTGTTGTCTTCTCCACGATAAGTAGACATATAACTGTCTCTCCGAAGAGTACAAATTGGGATAATGTGTCCCAGACTTTTCTAACCACTGGTGGGTTTGACGAGTGGTAGGAGTTGTGAATGCTGCACTCTGATTTACCAGGTTTAGAAGCAAGACATTCATGCTTATAAAACACATATTTAGCAAACAGTGTTGGTGGGGGTTTTTTTAGGGGTGGGTTTTTTTTGGCTCTCATTGTTGTTGTTGAAGTACCTTCATTAAGACTTTATTCTATTATTATTTTAAAACAACTGCTTTTATCCTAATGTAAAATTTATGTAAAATGTATTTGAATGGCAGGCAAGATCTACATACAGAAAAAGAGGAGTCACAATATGAGTTCCATTGGAGGTCACTGAAAGTGAATAAGTCAGGTTCTACCCTCATGAGATGATGATGTCTGAAAAAAATCAAGATTGTTTTAGTTCCCTGTTATTTCTCACAGCTAAAGCATTATGCATGTAGAGATGCTCAGACAGGCAGATTACATGGCTATCCCATCCCTCCTTTCTAAGAAGAGATTTTTGGGTCATATTAAGACCTATATAAATCTAGTGAAGTGGATGGAAGGAAACTAATTCTCTTACAATTTCTGGTGGAGTTGAACCCATATGTTGCCATGTTGGTGTCTGAGCCAGGAAATTCTAACAACATCTCTGTCTGTAATAGTAATTCTAATGCCATAGATGAACCATTTTCCCATAGCATTGTTAAGCTCTCATCTGACTCAGTATCTCAGACCGTGGCTTTCTGAAATATAAAAAATAAACAGTAGTGTATTTAATAATTTAAATTTATGCATTGGTAATTTTTTTCTTACTTTCAAATGGTGTTAAGCCAATTAATATATTGGCAGTTCAGTTTTTTTGCATTTATATTGCATTTATTTTTTTCCTCAAATTGCTGCTGCAGCGCATTATCACTAAGTGCAGAGACCAAACATTACACAGGTGCATATGGTAATTTGCCCTTTGTTGCAAGACCAACACAGCCCAACCTAATAGGCTCAGATGCAGAGATGAATATGTTGCTATTATATAGGATGTTCAGCTCCAAATACTGCAAAGTCTGTAGACGCTCAGGGAGATGAGGTATGAGTTACATCACCACATGGCTGAAAGCACGTTTTGCTCAGTACTCTTCTTTGTTCTGCTTGGATTTCTGTATATATTGCATCACACAAGATAGTTCATTATAACTTAGCAGGACACCTACTCTTTCTCGGTTATTTAATGACCTAAAAGTAGCCTTATGACTCCACTTTAAACAACAGTTGTTGGGATGCTAAACAAGTATTTGTACAGTATGGCAATTCTTATCACACCACAGCAGCACAGGGACAAATGTGGTTTTAGTGCCTAAACCATCTCTGTTCAATGAGGTCTGCTCTTTTATCACAAGGCAATTGCTACTCTATGCTTTGAGCTCATACCATACTCCTTCCTAGACCTTACTGATCTTTTGAGTTTTAACACATTAAAGAGAAAATTGTCACGTGGATGGGAAGGTGGGGAAAGAGATGTATATAAAACCAATCTGTTTTGCCAATAGCTTGATGAGTTTTGACTTCTGATCCTTATTCTTTTAATGTGAACAGCTTTTCCCCTTCACAGCATATTTCTCCCCTCTGTTCTCTTCGTCTGTCAAGTTACACTTCTCTGTGTGTCACGCTGATCTTATAATTATCCTATGATGGTAGACAAAATTTAATTGTGGCTTAAGTTAACCCGAGATTGATCTTTTGGCATTTTGCATAACAGTTTAGAAGCATCAGAGTCCATTGGCAAAGGTAAGAAATCCACGTTACAATCATGAAGCAGGTAAAACATGTAAAAAATGGTCACTTCTTAGTATGCAGGGGGTTTGCTACCGACCACTGCATTTGAAGACCTCTAATAAACATGGGAATCAGGGCTGAAGTGAACGTAGCCTGGGTGTCCAGTGAAACCCAGACTTTTCATTTTAATGCTGGTTGGTTTTTGCTCAGAGGATGCAGTTGCTTTGCCTCTAGACAGGACTTTTGATTTCAGGGTGCTCCTACCATTGTGCATAGAGAACCACTGTTTGCTTCTGCCTTATCCAACAGCAGAGCTATGCACTGCAGTTTGTGTACATGCATGCCCATACCAGTTTAGAATCCCCCCCAGCTAGCACTCTGAGTTGAAATGAAGCAAATTCTCAAACAGCATCTGGAAATATTCCAAAACTTTCCTAATGGCACAAGGTCAGATCTCGCCTCCCATTGCTTTGGTGAAAGCAAAGCCAGAAGGCCACTGTCTTCCAAGACCCAGCTGAGTGGCTTACGGCACAAATCAGCAAGCTGGATTCAAAACTGACCTGAAGACCAGGTTTGCACTCCAGCGTACCTAGTACTGCCTTACATAAAGGCTAACTTGCCCCAGGGCTGTGTCAAGGTTCTGAAAGAAGTAGAGAGAATGGTTATATCCTGGCCGTATTCTTTCTTTGATAATTCTGTAACGTGCAATTGTACTCACACATGCGAGGCCAGTGACTTAAAAAAAAGACCTATGCCCACTTTATGCCAATGATGAATCACTGCAGGAGTGATCTTTATGGTTCAAGAAGGCTTTGATTCAAATTTCACAATCATTGCAGCAAATAGCAGTAACAACAGGGAAGAGCCAAGATCAGCAAACAGCAATTTGGCCCCAGATTTTCATTGGTAATAGCCTGGCAGAAGTTATGACCAACAATATAGATTAGGACACCCATTAAAGCTCTTTTATTTTCTTAAATTATCTTCAGTTTATCATCGTCCAGTGAATTTGGGAGCTGGTATTTCTGGGGGGAGAGAGAAATGAAAGGAAATCAATGATGCTTGACTTAACATCTTAATCAGATACTGGTACTGATAAAATAATTCTGAAAAAAATCTTCAAATAAGGGAAACCTGTATGAGCTTCTCTTAGAAAATTGTTTAAGGTACACTTAT